TTTTTTTATGACTATGAGAATTGCATACCACCATAGAGTTGATGGAATGACATGTTGGGTGGGTATAAGAAAGTTTTCAGGCCTCCGGAAGAGCGCCAGTGGTTAACCATATAGACTTGATTTTTGTGGCCTTCGGACTGGGCACATTTTTAATGGCGTTCGGAGCACTAGCATTTTCGAAATACGAAAACTGGACGTACTTCGATTCTCTTTATTATTGCTTCACTACACTAACCACAATAGGTTTGAAAAGCTTTCGAACTATCATCTCCACTCATGGGCTTTGCTTAAGGATTCGGCGACTTCGTGGCTCTTCAAAAAGGAGGGGCACTTCAGAATCGTCCTGACTATGTCGTTTTCTCCTTAGTCTTCATTCTATTTGGTTTAACAGTGATATCCGCAGCAATGAATCTCCTTGTTTTGCGGTTTTTGACTATGAACACCGAAGATGAACGAAGAGATGAACAGTAAGTCGGCAACTATGGACTCTTTGCTTGTTCAGTTCTCAATGCCCATTTTTAGACAAGCAAAGCTGGCAGCTCGTGGACTCGTACGAGTTCGTGGTAGACGAAGAGACTCCGACGAGGACGTCGTTAGTCCAGTTGGTCTACCACTTAGTGATAACGTATCTGTGAGTACTACGCACATTTTGTTTTTAAAAAATGAATCAGCTCTCATATAATGCTCCTTTTCGCTGAGATTTCCACTCATTTACTATCTTAAGGTATGCTCATGTTCCTGTTATCGAGTCCCTTACGGAGATGAAGAAGTTCGGCAACGGAACCGAACTTCCGCAGGAAATACAACAGGCGAAGACGCAAATGTGCGGCATAGCCATCATGCTACCACGAGCATGTAGATACTCTTCTTGAGAGGGTATACCCCGCTTTGCTCTCATAATGTTCCTCATTCCACGTGTTGTCGTACATATTGTTCTGCAGTCTATAGAAATGTTTATGTTATTACTCTTCTCGATGTTCAACTCAAGGAATGCTCTAATGTATTGTTCACTGTTGATTGTGGTTGAAGTGAAAAATACGTGCGACTCAAAGTGCAATAAGTTTGAGAATGCATAGTTCGATGTATAATTCGCATATTCTCATGCGGAGCGGGTGCACATTTTGGAAGTAAAGAAGCAGGACTCTGATAGCGAAAATACAAGAATATATTGCCCTTCTGTACTGCAGCGTCGATAAACGAATGAATATCCATGCGTAGTGTTTTGATATTTGTTTCTAGTCCGTCTGAATATCCCTCAGACAATTCGTCTAGGACCTTTGCTGGGCTTATC